AGGGGCGCAACGGGGTACCCCGTTTGTTGCAGGGGTACCCCGTTGCGTGCATTTGTCCCCAACCCTCTCAAGTCAGACTTCCGACCACGCGCCCCCTACCCCCCTCCCATCCAAACACCTCCAACAACGATCAGCCGCGTTACAGTCGACTCGGGGATGTGGTGGGTTGGTTCCCTCCGGCGAACACACCTTCCCGACCAATTGCGCCGCGCTGTTCACGTACGCCGTGGGCGAGCCGCTGTTGGCGTACTTGGCAGTCATAGCATCCAATTTCTTCAACTGGTCTTCGTTCATCTTCTTCGACAGCTGCGAGGACACGTCAAGGCGGGGGCGGGGATGGCAGCGATGGGGGGCGGTGGGGTTGGGTGAGAAGAGGCGTGGACGGAGGCGCAACATTGTAGTGGTCAACCAACGGTGACACTGCTGTGTAACATGCGTGATACGGGTAGGACAAACCTTTGGCGGAAGACGTGGATATCAAGCAACACGACCCTTGAATAGACAGGCATCACCTAGTTTCAACCGCACGCGCGCACGGGCAGTGGTAGCGGAGATAGGCCCTCCCTAGAGCTGAAAGGCTGAAACCACGGCCTCCATCCTCGAACCAAGATCACCAAAAAACACAGAACAGCGAAAAAAACTACTTCACCACCAAATGCGGGAGAGACCTTCTTGCAAGACATGAAACACCCCAGACGGCAACATACCCCCCCTTGCTCTCTGAAGACATGCAAAATATAAGAGGACACCCCCCCCCTTGCGCTCTGTCCACCCACACCTGCTTCACGAGCGCCGGTTTAAAGAATGTAGCTGCTGCCGCTCCCTTTGCTGGTGCCGGCGCCTTGCGGCCGGCCGGAGCAGGGCCCGTAGCAGCTTTGCTCTCCCCGCCGCCGCCGCCGCCGCCGAACATCCCAAACATTCCCCCCCCGCCGCCGGACGCAGCCGGAGCCGGCTTCTTGGCCGCCGCGGGCGCCGCCTTCTTCGCGACAACCTTCGGCGCGGGAGCCGCCTTCTTCGGAGCGGCCTTGGGTGCGGGCTTCGCGGCAGCGGGCTTGGAGGCCGATCGTAACGGCGCGCTCAACATCGGGGCTTTCTTCACCGCCGCCGCCGGAGGCGTTGCTGGTGCCGCTTCCTTCTTCTTCTCTGCGCCGCCGCCGTTGCCTCCGAAGAGGCCGCCAAAGGGCGATGCCGGAGCCTTAGCCTTGGGTGCAGCGGGCGCGGGTGCCTTCTTAGCCGGAGCAGCGGCCGCCAGCTTCGGTGCCGCCGGCTTCGGTGCCGCCGGCTTCGCGCCGTTCCCACCGTTGCCGCCGAAGAGGCCTCCGAAGGGAGAAGACGGGGCCTTGGCCTTGGCCTTGGAGGCCGCGGAGGGCGGGGATGCAGGGGGCGCTTTCTTCGCCGGAGCGGTGGGCGTGGGCTTCGTTGCCGCAGCCTTCGCGCCGTTGCCTCCATTGCCGCCGAACAGGCCGCCAAATGGAGAGGACGGTGCCGGCTTCTTAGCAGCAGCGGCGGGGGGGGCAGCGTCCGCGGCTGGGCCCTTCTTCGCCGGAGAAGCAGCGGCAGCAGCCACAGGAGCAGAGGTAGCCTTCACCCCGGACTTGGTGCGCAACGGCGCGCTGAGCGGAGGCATTTTTTTCTTGGCGGGAGCGGCAGCCGCCGCCTTCTTCTGTGGAGCGGGAGCCGCCACCGACTTCGCCGTGAACTTAGCAGCAGGCTTCGCAGGTGCAGGTTTCGTAGCCGCAGGCTTCTTAGCCGCAGGCTTCTTAGCCGCAGGCTTCGGTGCGGGCTTGGGGGGCGTCTTGACAGCGGCCGACGGCGACGGCTTCACTGGCGACGAGGGGGCAGCAGATGCGGCAGGCGGCTTCGGTGCTGCCGGCGTCGATGCGGCGGGCGGCTTAGATGGGGCGGGCGGCTTCGGTGCGGCGGGCGGCTTCGGTGCGGCGGGTGGCTTCGGCGCCGCCGGCTTTGGTGCCGGCGGGGTAGGCAGCACGGCCTCCACCTTGCTGACCGCGTCGCCGATAACCTTGTTTGGTATGGCCGTCAGCTCCTTCACCTGAAGGGTGGACGCATGGGTGCACGAACGGATGCATGGATTGACTGGTGTACGCACATGAGTGGTGTACGCCCGGTGCTTGGTGTCGATGTAATCACGTCTGTATTGTACGCCATGCACGCTCTAACCCTTGCACAAGAGAATCACGCCGTGTATCCCGCGCGCCATCAAAACGCACGGTCACTAGGGCTGCTGTTAGTTCGTTGGTTACCGATAGGACTGTGGGTCGGTGCAGACATGAAGCCGCTCAGGCCAAAGCACTGAGAAACAACTGATGCACCACCCCCCGACAGTTTGTCAGCAGCACGAGGGGCCTTCGGTGTCAAGGCCTGGCGTGCTTTGGCTGTCATTCCTTGGCCTTCGCCTCCCTTTGTGATGTCCATTCCGTGGACCCGTCCCCCTCCCACTCCCCCCCCCCGGGTAAAAAAAAGTTCCTCACCTTAGCGTCTGCGGTCTTCTTGGCCGTGTCCGCCGCACTGGTGGCGGCCTCTGTTGCCGCATCCGTCACCTTATCCGGCACCTTCTTCAACTTCTCGACGAGGATAGCGGCAAGAGACGGAGGAATACAAACACAGCAAAAGCCCAAGAGAATCATGGCACGCGAGAAAAAATGAGAAAAAAGAGGGGCGGCTCTGGATGTGATGCGAAATTAACCCGGTAATGTCAGTGAGATGAGCTCGGCAATGATAGCGCATCCCTCAGTCAACTCCTGGGTGGGTTAGGCATGGAGGACGGAGTACGACAACAAATCGTGTTGCGCCAACCCCAGCACCCACCCGACCGCAAGAAGGCTGCCCCTTACGCCGACGCACGTCTTTGCCCACCTCCCTCACGATAGCGGCTTCTCCGTTCTGCCGTTCAAAATCTCTTCTTTGTTCGACCTTTCCCACTCCAGAGAGATCGGAACGGTTTTTAATGTGAAGACAACAACAACAACAACAACAACAACAACAACAACAACAACAACAACAACTCCCCCATCTTCGAACGATTCACAAAAAGCAACGATAGTTGACTCCCCTCCGTTCCCGTGACACTGACTCCCAACAAACACACTCCTCGAGGTCTATCGCTTTCGCTCCGCTACCTGCCAGCAATGATACAACCTTAACCTTTCCCACGAAAAAATTCCTGCGGCCGCCATGCGTTACGCCGTGTACAGTTTCTTGTACCCCACCGTTTCCTCCACCATAACGCCTCACGTTCCAACGCGTTCACTCCTTTTCCCTCACCTCTCCCAGAGCGGCTTCCCCGGCCTTTGCGGCCTCCTTCTGCAGGTTCTTGGGCGCGGCCTTGATGTCCGCGATGATGGAGTCGGCCTTTGCTTTGGCATCGTCCTGGGCAGACTTCACCGCTGCCTGCCGTTTCGGTCATCGATCACCGAACCACATGTTTCACGGGGAAAAAAACAATTTCGCGATGGTTCTCGTGCGATCAACGCACAGCCGAGGCCTTCCCACTCCTGGTTGGTTCGGTGTTTGGTTGGCGTTTTGCCGTCAAACGTATGATGCACAGGTGATGACACGTATTTTTTCGTAGTGCAGATACCCAAATATATGTAATCGAAATACGAATCCCTTACACAGCTTTCGTCTGTATCTCAGTGGGACTAGAGTGTTTTCGGTCTGTTTCACTCAAAATCCTAACGAGATGTCCGCTGCGGTTTCAGAGTTGAGTCTTGAAAACTGTTCGTTGGTCGGCCATTTTCAAGGTTCAACGCAGGCACATCGCGCGGCGCACAGCGGCAGCTTCTCGCGGTTCGCTCGTGATCCTCCCCCCATCTGCCTGTGTAGCAAAGTCAACGAATCGATCGCACCTTAGCGGCACCCGCGATCGTGTCGGGGATGCTCTTGATATAGGCCACCAGGTCGTCCGCCTTCTGCTTCGCCGCCGCCTGAGCGCTGTCCGGGACGGCCTTGATGCTCGCCACGGTTTCGTCCACCTGCACCGCAGGGTGGGTAAACCGTGTGGCGTTCACGTACATCGTCGTCACGGAACGTGGGTGACGAGGGAAAAAAAGGCAGCAACAGGAACCACAACAGCAGCACGAAAACAACGCGCCCAGTTGATCCTAGGGCCACTTCGGTGCACGCCTCGGCACGCCTCTTGAGGAAAGAGGCCATGACAAAAAAAACAAAAAAACATCGAAGCAGTTTCACTCTGGTACATAGACACGAACCAAAGGGGCTTTGGGGGCGGGGGGGGGGTTACGCGAGGGAATCGCCTAGAAACCGAAACCTGCACCAGACACGGACCGATACAGAGACAAACACGAGGGGAAAACGACTGAAAGAGGCAGCGATGACTCTCTTACGGCTGTCCCGTACTGCATACTACAGTATGTGTTGTCTCCTCAACTAAAAGAAATGAAAAGTTGGGTAATTGGGAACGATCCCTTCTCCGTAAATCGCGACGCGACAACCAACAGCTTTGGTTGCTCGTAGCTGGGGTAGGGGTTGTTTTCGAACGAGACACTCACATATGCCCCCTACAACATCCATTCGAGCCGACCCCCGACCCGACCAACCATGGCAGCTAATGCTGCTGAATGCTATCTTCCTTTGCCTGGTACAATACGGTACCTTTTTAGTTGCGGATGACTTCGCGCTGTCCACGGCTGACGCGGCCGCCTCTTTCAAGGACGCCAGCAGCCATGCCACGAACCCTCCGATCACCCTGCGGGTGTTTTCCCCCACCACACCGTCCTTTGTGCGTCGGCATTGAGATGGAGAGAGAAGCATAAGAAGAGAGAGAAGCTAGTAAAAACACTGCAGCACATCATTGGTCCACTGGCTAGAGGTCATCCAAACTTCCCTGTACGTCATCGTGACCACAGCAACTGCTGCGCACTCGTCCGGCAGTGCTGCTACCGCCGAAGACGAAGCACGGGCAGCACCACCGCCAGCATCGTAAGCAACACTACTCGCAAAACACACGAGTGTGGAGAGGGGGGGGGGGGGGGGGGGTACTCATAGTCGTGCATGCCGTAGTCGTTTGACCATTGACCTCGCATCCCTACAAAGCCGGGACGGAGCACGCCGGGTTCTCACCGGACCAGGCTCTCACATCACCAAGCGCGAAGCGCCGTGAGGTATTTGGCGATTCGCATGAAGGGTGAGCTGCATCCTGCTAAGGGTGTTCGGCATCTTGTGCTTACTTCCTTGCGTACGGATGACAGCTACGTAAGACTTCATTCATTTTTTGGTGCTTTCACTTCCAGAGACAGTTGTAAGCACTGTGTTACTGCCTCGAGGAAGCTTGACCATTTTAACACAACGAGGTGCGATCATCCCCCTTGCGCGGAGTGAGGTTTCTCGACCCCGCACAACATGATCTACTCGACCACCATTATGATTACCGCCAAAAAAAAAAACAGAGGTAAAAAAAAACAACGGTAACCTGGTTGCCGAGTTCACGAAGTGAATTGGCTTGTTTTACAACGTCGTTGCCAAGCGACGAAAACCCAATCCCGATGGCAAACACCGAGTGGGGGGCTTGTTTTACAACGTCGTTGCCAAGCGACGAAAACCCAAACCCCGATGGCAAACACCGGGGGGGGCGGCTTGTTTTACAACGTCGTTGCCAAGCGACGAAAACCCAACACCCGATGGCAAACACCGGGGGGGGGGGGGGCTACTCGAAAGTTCTCTCGGTAGTAATCCGGAAATCAACACGACACTGGCAAACAACAGCGCACAGCTAGCTAGCTGTACGACGTCTTTTCACCCACTACAGCAGCAGTCCTGCATCATGAGTACGACCGATGTCACCAACACACACACGCACCCCAAAGGGTCTCCCATCAACACACTCACCGCCGTGGCTGCAGCGTAGCCGAGCCCCCCAAGGGCCACCGCGCCCACAGGTGGCGCCCATGGGGCATCCCCTCCCGCAAACGCCCCATCTCCCAGCCCTCCAGCGACGAGGCCCACGGTCGCGGCCGCCCCGGCCACCATGAGGGCGTCCATCTTCTCCTTCGCGGCGAGCTGTGACTTGGCCTGGGCAGCCTGTCGCAACGACTCCGCCTGGAGCGTTTGTTCGTTCGTTCGTTCGTTCGTTCGTTCGTTCGTTCGTTCGTTCGTTAGCGCGGGGTCACGCGCGTGTCGGGCGTCGATAAACCTTACCCATCGCTATGTGTTGCTGTGAAATAGAGCACATCATGGGTATCAACACGGAGAGAGAGAGAAAAGAAAGCTTGCTATATACCAAAACCAACCGCGAAAGAAAAAACAAACGTCGACGAATGGTCGGTCATGGCTCAGAGAAAAAACAACTTACACACACAAATCAGTATACATGAGACACATCGCATAACCGCCTGACCGATCCGAGCATTCCAACAACTAGATATTGCTGCAGAGGTACACGGACCGAGCACAAGTATCGGGTTGGCATGATGGGACCGACCCGTTTCGACCCTACTTCCCTCGTAGTACAATATTACCTGCCGTTCTCCTGCCGCCTTTAGTTCCACCGCCTCCTTTTCTTTCACGAGCTTCTCCAGGTCAGACTTGGCAATTTCGCCTTTGAAGACAACAAGCAAGGGATAAAAAACACAGAAAAAACAAAGAGAGGACCTTGTTGAAAAAATAGGGGTCGTCGTCACCAGCGTCCATGGACATCGATACGCATGCATAATCGGTCGTCATCAACCGAACCACGGCACATCCATTCACGCGGCCAACAAAACCGTTCAGAGGCAAGGTGGATTATTTCTCTAAACGGCACATCCATCAAGTCTGGCATGTCCTCAACCCCTCTCTGGGGAAAGGTACTTAGCCAGATGGCGAGCTCCAAGCGAAATGACGCGCTCACTGGCCATTCGGCATGTGGTACGCCTGACAAAGGACCGTGGACGCCGCAACCACTTCTCTAGAAAACCTGTTCCCACCCTCCCCATCGCTCTTATTATTGAATCGCCACACAAAAAGCAATACATGCCTTCAGGTTTCAAAAAGGAAGGGAGTGTTTGATTCCCTGCCGCCAAACACGAGCACAACCCGCCCCTCGTCTGTGTGTCATTCTACAACTGAACTCGCCCGGAAGAACGCACAAAAACTCAACAGACAACAGAGGTTTTGGGTTATAAACCTTATCTATCACCGAACGTAGCAGGTACAACACCCGCGCACGTGATGAAAATCAAACCCTGCGCACATCCTTCGTATTCGCATAAATAGCACCATATGGCCGATAGGTCTCTCTTGTCACCGTCACAAATATCGTAGCCTCATCTCCCTACATATAAACTTTCTCACCCTTCGAAAACGCCGAGATGGCTTCCTTAATGCTGCCTCCCGCTGGAGGCGCCCCCCCAGGCGCCGCTGAGTTGCCGGCGGGCGGCGGCGATGCAGCTCCGTCTTTTCCAGCGGCATTCGGGGCGGGCGGGGTGGGTGCCCCATCGCTTCCCTCGGCCTTGACGGGGGTCAACGACAGCAGTGGACGTCCTCCCGGGAGAGCTTGCCCCAGCGTTTTCTCGTCACTGAAGGTTTAAAGCATGAGATGAGCATTGTCCCGTGCACGAATGGTGATCCCATTATTTACGGTTACAGAAGATGGATTTTTTCGTCCCGTGAAAAAATTTAGCTCGCGGTGTGTTTGGTCTAGCAACGAGCGCAGATCCGGGGACACGAGGAATACTTGCAGTAGTTCCATTCCTCCGCGGTACATACATGCCTCCCCGTCCCCGCCATAGCGCGAGGAACACTTCTGCAATGCTCTTTCCCTCCCCCTCTACAGGTACAGCAGTACCAGACCGAACCTTGCATACACAAAACACTACAGCAGTACTGGTTTTGTAGCGAACAAGCGCATCCGAATCAGTATCAAGCGTCATGCCGGGGGTTTGCACCCCTAAGACCTCGACCATGCGCGTGTAGCATTGCGAGGGATGCGTTCCTCTTTCAATCTATCTAGATCACGGGAGATGGGTACCAAGAATTGTGCAAGCGACTTCCGTATGACCAACGACTCCGTGAACAAATTGCAGGTCTCTTTGAGTTTCACACAAAAGTGTTATCATCGCTCAACAAACAGACGCAGTGAATGTGTACCTGTGTGCCAAAGCCAGGTGATGTCAAGCACTTGGTGAGCCGGGCGGGACAACTCTGCTTGTTTGTTGAGCAAATCCTGGAGCACTATATTTTTGCCCATGACGGCACTCGCTGCCAGTCTTGACGGCAGCTCTAACTTCTACCATTCCACCCAGATGCTTTCTTTCGCGAAATAATCCAGTTGGACAGCAGAAGTGTGACTATCGCCGGCAAGAACGTGTGTGCGTTTTGTGCACTTCTGTAATATCCCATTGGTTCGGATATCGGCGATGGAGCGGAGTTTTGACCATGTCGACCCCAAACTGGTAAACATCCATACCGCCGGCTCGCGCCGGTCCTTCGGCACAACGGAAACTGAAAAGGCCTTCGTGCTTCATAAAACATCATAAGCGTTCTCCTTGTAAGGAAGAACAGACCAGCGATTGTTAATGTGAGGAAAGGCAAGTAAAAGATCAAGGAGCTTTAGAAGAAAGAGGACATGTGCACGGCGGATGTTCATGCGCAAGTGCCAACGGCCGAAAAAGAGGGAAATCTGCATACTCGTGAACACCGAAGAGGGCGTTGGTGGGATAAAAAACACATGGGTGCTGCTGATGGTGGTGGTGTTGGTGTCATCTCATGAACGGGCTTTCATGAGCGCAGCTCTACGCTCTTGCTCGATCGCTCCTTGTAGCTGCATGCATTGAGAACTGCTGCTGTACACACACAGCAGCGGGTCCGGGTCTCTTTGGCAATCCCCCACAGGCAGCGCGGCGCTCCACGTAGCTACACAAGAGAGTGAGCTAAACCTCATATCATGGGTTCGATTTTTCCCCATACTGCTGCCGCTGTGAGTCAAGCATGGCCTGGCGAGACCCCTACTCAGCAAACCGCAAACCGACATCGAGTCGAAACGCATACAAGGCAACCAGGCGGCCCAACTCGCCGCTTAGCTGCATCCTGCGTATCACCCAACATCAACATGATCTCATGATACAACAAAAATTCGCGGCGCTTCACCCTGGAAGCAACCGCCTCCCAGCCTCCGCGAGAAGCGGCACCCGCTCACAAGCGCGCACCACCACTCACCTTTCTGGTCTGGTCCCTGGTATGGCCCGCTTGGCCGCCCTGCGCACCCTCGAGAACGGGTTGAAGGATGCAGTGACAGGAACGTACGAGACAAACGCGGCGGCCGAGTCATGACCAGCGGTAGCACGAGTGCCGGAGGAGCACGCAGCGTCGCAGTATGCGCCGCCAGCCAGCAGCGATAGGAACGCCAACCGCGTGGCAGGGCCAGGCATTCTGCTGAGTATGTCAGCGGGGCAGCCCTCTAGCATGCACGCGCTAGAGAGATCAGACGCCGACGCTCGCGCTCACGCACGGCGGCTCTGCTTCTTGGAAAAGCCCCCCGCTGTCCCCAAGTACCCCCTTCACGATTCTGCGAAGCCCCCTCAGATCGCGTGATCATATAACACACCACACACCATGCACCGACAACGAGACAGAGCCGGGAAGGGATAGCCGCCAGAAGGGAAGTGATGCCTCTCACACACACCAAAGGGAGAGAAAAGGGGCCTCAGGTTGTTCGCGAGTCAACCGCTTCCAGTCTCTCAGCCTCGGGTACTTTGACACTGATGTGTCGTAGTATTGATGCCCATGCATCAACATCGGCACAAAAGGTAATTGTACTGCTGTAGTGCACGGAACACCGCTATCGCGACAGACAAGTCATGCTGCAAGCAGTCGTTGTACGGAAAGGGAGAAAGATACCGGTTTTCTCCCCCTTGTGTGAGGAACGGAATGGCTCACGCGCCCTTGTCCAAGGAAGAAGACAGCGAGCCGCATTCGGCAAGTAAGTAATGAAGCAACAAGGCAGAGTTCGGCAATCTACTTGCAGGATCGCGTGGTCGACGCGCGGTTGCATGTGGCGAGGTCTCAGCAAACAACAGGCCTGATCGACAGCGTGACCGCTGTGACTAGCACGGAGAAATGGGCGAGGACCCGGAAAGTTTAGCCTCGAGGCCAAAGGACGACGCAGCGAGATGTTGCTGAAGGAACGAAGAGGGGTCCGACATGCACGGGAATATCACGAGCCTACGAAAGCGCTGATGGTGTTGTCGAGGTTTAGCCGGAGAAGCAGGTATCCCCCAGAGCGTTTGCGGAGATGCTTGGCGTCGAGCTGTGAACTTGGAAATTCCCTGGCGCCGATCTGTCAAAGAAGATTTACTCTACAAATCGGTTTGCCCCAATCGAAACAGAGTGCGACAAGTGTACAAAGAAAAAAATCAGACATCGTTGATGATTTTCGCACCTCGGTTGTTGGGATAATTTTTCAATTTGGAAGCATCTCTGGAGTCTTCCGTATTCAGCGCGGTATGCATATCTTCCGCCCAAAAGTTATGCGTCAAACGCAAACCGAACAACCACACGGGGCTGAGGGATGTGTTGAAGGTTAAAGGCACGGCGGCGCAGGAAGGGACGGAACGACCCTGGATATCAACG